GTACTCTAAAATAAGTTAGGGTTCTAAGCTAGAGAATTGGCTCCTACTGCCATTCCTAGATGCCACCACCAGTCAGTGCTGGTTGTCCCCATGGCTTGCTATCACTGCTGGTCTCTGTTCTTGATCTCTCCTGATTTCTACTGCCACTCTCCGGAGGTCTTCAGAGCTAGCAGCCCCTAGTGTTTGTACTTGTAGCTCTTTTCTAACACAACCATTTTACCTATACCACCTTGGGATAAAAATCCTGAGTAGATTGACTAGATCTTCCAAGTCCATACTACCTCACAAACAAGTCACAAGTAGATTTGAAGAACCACCAGAGGGAGATTTTGTCTGAAAAGGGCCTATGTTATACAGCACAGCAGGATCCAACCTGAGAAGTGTGAGAAGAGTGCTACTTATATAGCAGCAGCCACCTCGTGATTATTTCAAATTCAAGCCCATTGATTGGTCCAAATTCAATTCTACTACTTGGTTCAAATTCAGTCTCACTGCTTTGGACCCACTGACCATGAACTGAATTCCCTGAAGGTGTGAACCGAATTAAACCTCTTCTCTTTTAAATTGTAGTTACTGTGCTCTAGTCATGAGAAAGCTGACTAATACAACATTTAACCTCAATTTTTTCCCTAAAGGCCCTATTTCCAAATATAGTAAGCTTGTGTGTTAGACTTCAAAGTAAGTTGTGGGGAAACAATACGCAAAGTCCCTGACATACAAAATCTTGGTTATTGCCCACTAGTCCACAGTGGGGCACTGTGGCACTATGGACCTCCAACTGTCTGCAGGGAATAGCCTTCAGAGCTGACAGCCAAGGGACCTAGAAGGTTCAAGAAGAGTGCTAGTTGATGTTTTTTGTCCACCAAATTGTTTGATGACACATAGAGGAACATGTGATGTGTTTCCATAGCAGGTAGCCAGGAACTCCAGCTATACAGTGGTTAGAAGTCTTTCTGAGTTTAAAAGGGAAAAAGAAGGGTTTGGTATGAGACTGGGACAGCCTGTATGCCCTGAGGTAGGGACAGGCAGAGAAAAACTGTCTCCAAGGAGAAGCAAGGGAGCTGTGGCATAGATACATGGCCTAACCCAAGCCCAGCCTACAGCAGTGCAGGCCAGCTCTACAAGTTGCATTGTGTCAAGAAGAGATCAAGCTGGGCTCTTGGTTTAGCTGAGCCCAGGAACATGGTAAGAAAAGAAGGTTGCCTGGGCATCTGTAGAGACCATGACATCAGAGCAGTGACATCACATCCTAATGTCCAATCAGAACTGATGCTCACAACTCCAGTTCTCAGAGGACCAGAACCCTGAGCAAGGTGACCATGGCTCACTTCTCCCCTATCCTGCCATGGACTCTAGGTTTCTCTGTTATGTGGCTGTTTGCCCTCTGGGAGCAGGTAAGTCCAATAGGCAAGGAGAGTTTCCCAATTCTGAACTTGCTATTTCCTGAATCCTTCACTTCCCCTGGGAATGCACCCTCTCAGGCTTGTTCCTGAGTTCCTTCTCTATCTGCTTTCCCCACAGGCCCAGTGGAGACTGGAGTCATCCAAACCCCAAGACACAAGATCAAAACAAAAGGACAGGAAGTGACACTAAGATGTTCCCCTATGTCTGGGCACCAGAGTATGTACTGGTGTCAACAGGCTGTAGGTCAGAGCCTCGAGTTTCTCTTTGCATATTACAGTGAGTTACAGAGAGCAAAAGCAAACATCCCTAAGAGATTCTTAGCTAAGTTCCATGACTCTCTCACTGAGCTGAACATAAGCACCTTAACATAAGCACCTTGGAGCTGGAGAATTAAGCTGTGTACTTCTGTGCCAGCAGGGGGCACAGCTGTGTGGAGTCCCCAGGATCCTGTGCACAAACTCCTGCCAGCACAAAGTGGAGCAACCTGAAATGTGACATGTGTGAAAACCTACAGGACAGACAGGTGTGGTGGTGCATGCCTATAACCCCACCTCTTTGGAAGGCTGAGGCAAGAAGAGCACAAGTTCAAGCCCAACCTAGGCAACTTAGTGAAACTCTCCTTCAAAATAAAAAAGAAATAGGGCCACAGCTCAGTATGAATGCCCTGGGTTCAACCTCCAGCACAAAAAAAGAGAAAGAAAAACAAAGATACTGGATTCTGAGATTACAGGAGGAAAGAAAAATGGTTTCAGGTCTCTGGAAAGTGCAGCCCTTTCTACCATTACGAGAAGAGAAATTAAGGCTGGGAGATTCTTTCCAGGCCATGTGTTACTTCAGTAAATTCTCTCCAAAAGCAATCCTTCACCTGACACTGTACCATGGGAGGTACCAAAGGAAGAGTTTGTAACGTAACAGCTGGCTCCCTCTTCTATGGGCAAGAAATTTTGTTTTGAGGTCAAGCTTGTATAATAATAGTGTAATGTGGGTAGTAACATCACAGAGGTTGATTTTGTAGAATTGAAGGAGAGTACATCGAGATTTAAGAAAGATCTAGAAGAGAGAACTGAGAAAAGGTGGGTGAAAATAGAGTTGCAAGGTGAATTAGGGCAGTGTTCTATGTGACACAGGCTCTCTTCACCTCCTTCTAACACCCCAGTACCCCTCAAATATTGAGCAAGGCCTGGTAGACACTGGTGTCACCTGGCAGCCAATCCCACTTGAGGATATCACTAGATAGCCAGTGGCTATCTGAGATGAAAACCCTGGAGTTGATTATGAAGTCTTCCTTCTTGACTTCTGGTTTCAGCTTCGTCTCCTCAGGGTACAGTCAGATGCTTTCCAAAACACAGGTGAAACCTTGTCAGCCCTGGCCATGCATGGACAAGGACCTGCCAGTTTTCCCAAGATCCATTCTGCTTTCCAAGGATATCATACTTCCACTGACCCCCCAGATCCAAGCACCTTCTGTGCCTACACAGCCCTTCCCAACCTCTCCTAAAAACTCAGCAAGCTTTGCATCTTTTCTTTCTGTGCTTGCCCCTTCCAGGCCTGGAGGGACCCTCTTCTCCCTGCTTCCAATACACCCTGCTTGTCAGGCTCCCACCTGCCTTCCTTCTCCCTTTTCACTCTGTTGTTCCCAGATTGTATTGCTCTATTGACTTCACTTTCATAGGAAAAGCCATGTATATACTTGATGCATCAATATCAATTTATATAGAGTCCTGGAATAATAGTCATCACTGTTTTTCCTTTGTGAAGGATTCCTTTTACCTGAAATGTAATGGATGGTCATTATGAGTCATCTCAATTTTCCAGCCTTATCTCTTCTCCAATATGGTGAACAATTGTGTTTTTAGAGTCAGGGTTGATGACCAAGGCTGTAGTCTCCTAACTGTGTCTAAGGCTGGCATATGGAACAAAGAAAATATGATGGGGCCGGGGATTTAGCTCAGTGGTTCCGGCGCCTGCCTCACAAGCACAAGGACCCGAGTTCGATCCCTGGTACCAAAAAAAAAAGGTCTGTTGTTTATTAAAGATTTCTCTATTTAAAAAGAAGAAAATATTATAGTAATAGTCATCCAGGTTTATAGTCCTATAACTATGAAATTTCTCAACACAACTATGCTTTTCCACAATCCCATCCTTAGGGACTTAACACAGCTAGAAAAATTGTCAAAGCTTCTCAAAAATTAATTTAAAAACTGAAGAAAAATTAGTTTTTCTTAATAACAGTGTCTTATTCTTGCTAATTAGAAAACATTATGTATGACACACACAACTTAAAGGAGGAGAGATTTATTTGGCTTACAATTTCCAGTAGGTGCAGTCCAAAGCTAGCTGGTTCCAAGGCAGAAAAGGCATGATAGAAAGTCTTGATGGAAGAGGACTGCTTACCCCATGGTATCCAGGAAGCAAAAAGAGAAAGGAGAAGCCAGAGAGCACAATGCACTTTTCAGGGTGGTTTTACCAGCCTCTGCCAACCATGTTCTAGCTCTGAACACAGAGATTTTAGGGGACATTTTAGATCTAAACCACACCAGGTCGTTTATTTCCAGATATAAAAACCTAGAAGTAAATATGTAAAATCTAGAAACAGTCTTTATAAAATGGACTGTCTAAAATCTGGTAAAAATAAAATGCAAAATATTAAAAGGTATGGGTCTAATTAAAAGGAGCTATGGAATACAGTGTTTCCAAGGTTGGATCATCTTGCAAATATCCCACAGTTTATTTTATGACCCTTTATTCTGGCTTGCCTTTTTCACTTTAGTATACTAAGTGCAATAGTGTAGAATTTGTTTCTTTTCAAAATGTAATGTTCATTTCATACATATGGTGGGTTTTTTTTTTTTCTCCACAGGCTTTGAAATCCTACGCATGGATTTGAAAATCAACCCTAAATAAGCGGGCCAGTTTGGGAAGGCAGTCAAATGGGTGTGTGTGAGGGGCTGAGGGCTCAGGATCTCCATTTCTGGTTTAGTCAGTAATGAGCAGGTGGCCCCAGGTGTGATTCAAGGAGACTGTGGACCACTGGCCCCTTGGGGGCGCTGTGGATCCACAGTGCTTCAGGGAACCCTGTGTGTGCATTGCGGGGGGTGGGTGTGCAGTGATTTGGGAAGTGGTCCAGGAGAGCAGAGCTGAAAAGAATGCCAGGCTGCCTGCGTGGATCAGGGAGGTGGTGTGAATTCACTGGTTGGGGTCTGGGCAAAAGGAGGTAAACACAGACTCGTTGTCCAGAGAAGGGAGAGGGTCCTACAGGTCTCAGGGTGCTCAAGAAGGAATATTCTCTGCTCCTGCATGGGCAGGGGAAGGTGAAACGGCTGGGGAGGCAAAGGTGGAAAATCAGCATCAGGTCAGGGGCTGGGGCTGGCAAAGGGGAGTTAGTATGGACAGAAGTAAGAAGGTATGTTCTTAGCATGGGTGGGTGGGGGAGGATGCTCGCCCAACCCAGCCTCAGTTTCGGGGCTGTGCAGGGCAGGAATGGTGCATGGTACACAAAATACAGCCTGGGCCCTGCCATTGGGTGCAATGGGCTGGGTGGCCTGCAGGGAGAATAAGGTCAGAGCATGACATATGCTTTTGTCAGAAAGACCAAAGCTGTAGTGCCTTTGAATGCTCACCTCGGGAGGCTCCATGCTGAACTAGGAGATACCTCGGGTTCCTAATGCTGCCATGGGCTTCTGGTTCTTCTGTTGTGTGGCCCTTTGTCTCCTGAGAGCAGGTGAGTCCTGGGCACAGCTGCAAAGCCTCCAATCTGTGTTCCCTGTTCCTGAATACAAGTCAGCTGAGGATGGCTCTGCTCTGCCCTTAGCTTCTGCCTCCTGACCCACAGGGCCTGTGGATTCCAGAGTCATGCAAACCCCCAAATACCTGATCCAAGTTAAAGGACAACAAGCAACACTGAAATGCTCCCCCGTTTCTGGACACCTCTCCGTGTACTGGTACCAACAGAATCTGGACCAGGGCTTCCGGTTCCTCATTCAGTATTACAGTGGTGAAGAAAGAGACAAAGGAAACATCCCTGACCGATTCTCTGTGCGGCAGTTCCCTGACTCCAGCTCTGAACTCACCCTGAGGGTTTTGGAACTGGGGGACTCGGCACTCTTTCTCTGTGCCAGCAGCTTGGCACAGCGCTGCATGGTCCCCAGCCTTCTGTACAAAAACATTTCTCTTTATTCCAGGAAGTGACCAGGAAGGCAGAGCTGCCAGCCAGCCTGGCTCAGGCCCTGGGAAGTTCACAGGCCTTTCCCAGACACTTGCTGCTGCTGGCATCTGTGATCTGTTTAACCATCTCAGAACTGGTGCCAGTTCAGCATCATTTTACCTGTCTGTCTGTCTGCAGGAAAACTGTACCAGGCCTCATATTCCATAGCTGTCTGATACCTATTCCTCCAACACCTGTCACTCTTTCACTGTTCACCTAGTAGATTTGTCCTCTCCTCTGATTTCCCCTCCTCAGATCCCAGTGAGTAGGAAGGGAATGTTATGTATCACACATGATTATAATGAGTGGTTTCCTGACAAGGCTAAGAAACACACTACTTCAAGGCCAAGTATATTCTCATTGGGATGAGAAAGAAAGGCACAATTACTGCACCGTAGTCCTCTTGCTGCGATATAGAGAAAGCCATGTGATCTCTCTTGTGGCAGCCTATGGGTAGTGTGGTCTCCAGCTGCAGAACAAAAGGATGGGGCATTTGTTAGGGAAAATGCAGTTGTCATGTGCAGACATGATAAGCCATAGGGGAAAGAAATGTGACCTCATCACTCGTTAATTTCTTCTATTCTTTTACTCAACAACCATTTCTGGGCTCCCCACTTTGTACAAGGATGTTCACAGAAGATAGAAAATGAGAAAAAACTGAACTTTTTTAAAAGAAAGAAAATGAGGAAAATAAAAATCTTGGTTATCCAGAGTAATTTCCTTAGTTTTTCAATTATGCAAATCAAATTTTCTTTTTTCCTCTCTTTTTCTCTTTCTCTGACTGCCCCTTTCTGCCAGCTTTTAAATACTTTTTTATTCTTGGCAAGAACATTTAAATGAGGTCTACCTTTCTAATAGATTTTTAAGTGTACACTGCAGTATTGTTTCACATAGAGGCACAATGTTTTACTGATGGAATTTAAATATGTAGCGGAACTTTCTACCCTTGACAGCAACTCATTTCTTCCACCCAACAGTGGAAACCACCATTCTACTCTTTGTTTCTTGGGGTCTATTTTTGATGCCTCCTTAAGTGGAATTATGTGGTAGTGTCTTTCTGTGACTGACTTATTTCAATTAACATAATGTCCTTCAAGTTTATTAATGTCATGGCATATAGCAGAATTCACTGCTTTTTTTAAGGCTTCATGACATTCCATTATATGTATCTACCATCTCTAAGGTCTGTAGTATTAATTATATTACATTTGACTTTTCCTATGAAAATCATCCATCACATCAGTGGTAGGGACAGTTTTAGACCTGCAAGAACTAGGTCCATTAAGGCATATTCCTAGTTAATTCTTCCCCTCAGAGAAGTCTCAGAAAAAAATAATAATGCCATCATTTATTGACAATTTATTACACACCAAAAAGACTTCTTCATTTGCAAAATTTGTAAATTCAGTTATCACAGAAAATACTAAAGGGCAAATACTATTATTGCTCTCATTTTATAGTTGAAGGAATTGGCCTACAGTTAAATAATTGGACCAAATCAAATAGCTGCTAGGGTACAGAACTGGGACTCAATGACTGGTCTAAGTCTCATGTTTCTAACTCTGTGCTATAATGCATTTTCACAAAGAGAGATACCTCTCTTCAAAATCAGAATGTTGTTCCTTTCATCCCTATCACACCTTATGGCTTTAATGTAATCATTAATAGAATTCAGTTTTACCAGGAGTTAGTGATATAGACAAAAAGATAAGCAAAGTGCGATGTACATTTCCAACCCAAGCTCACCAAGACTGAAGTCAGTTTCTTGACATATTAGGTTGAATTTTTTTCCATCTGTAAAATGGGACTATCAATCTCTATCTGCATGTCAGAATTCTCCAGAAAAACAGAACCACTAGGAGCTATCAATTTTCAGTGTAAGATATTGCCTAATGAATTTACAGATGCTCATAAAGCCAAAATCTGCAGGGTGGGCTGGTGGTGCTGGAAGAGGGAGAGCTGATTCTTCAGTCCTAAAGCTACCAGCTGGACCTTTCTCTCTTACCTGAGGGAGGGGTGGACTTTTTGTCTCATTTGTGCCTTGAGTTGATTGGACAAAGCCTGCCCACATTATGGAAGGTCATGTGCTTCACTCTATGATTAAAATGTTAATTTAATCTAATGTCAAAATCTACCAATTTAAATGTTTATCTCATTCAAAAATATCTTCAAAGAAATACCCAGAATAATATGTGGCCAAATTATCTGAACACTTGTGTGTGGTCCAGTAAAGGAGACACTTAAAAACCATCACACCATCTTCAGAGATGTACAAAATTTAGCAAGCATAAAGCACATAGCACGTTTTTATCCCCTTTGCTAATCTTAGCCTTTTCCTCCATTCTCTCTCTACAAAGGCAAATATGGAAACATACTGTCTAGTCATCATGCAGCTGAAGACCTGCAAGTTGCCGAAATAAAAAAATACATACATCTGACTATCATTACATGAAATTAATTGCAGAATGTAACATACACCCCTATCCAGACATTTAAAATCAACTTTACTGATATATAAATTACATGTAATACACATTACACATTTTAAATGAGCTGGTCAGTGATTTTTGAGCAATATACGTGATCACACAAAGGAGAATTTGAGACACACGGGTCCGAAGCTACCGGAGAGTCACAAGGATTTTCCCTAATATTCTAGACTACAGAAATGGTTAGATAAACAAAACCAGTGTGTCATTGGGGAATTACATCATTACAGAAATATAATAGACAAGGACTTAAAAATTGTTTTACAAAAAGGTCAGTAATAACTGTATCAATTCAGACAGAAGTGCTCCATCCTATGATCTGGAGTATGAGTAACCACTCATTTTAGATTTGTTCCTGAAGGGGACAAGGCGTGGCCCTCAGTGACAGGAAACCTCTGGGGCCCAGGCAGGGAGACTGGGGACTCAGAATGACTCCTCCTAGTGAACCCCATTCCCCTCTGCCTCATGGGGTCCCACAAGACTCCTCTGTTCTGCCAGGACCCTGCCATGAGCCTCAGCTTTCTCTGTTGTGTGGCCTTCTTCCTCCTGCAGGCAGGTGAGTCCTGGGCAAGGGACCTGGCATAAGATTTCAGGTCCTAGTCCAAGCCTTTCCACCGGGATTGCAGCATCAGCTTTTCCCTCTTTCTCTGCAGGTCCAGGGAATGCTGGCATTTCTCAGACCCCCAAGTTCCAGGTCCTGAGGACAGGCCAGCGCATGACACTGAGCTGCACCCAGGATCTGAAGCATGACAGCATGTACTGGTACCGACAGGATCCAGGGCTGGGGCTGAGGCTCATCTATTACTCATATGATGTTAATAACACTAAAAAAGGAGAAGTCCCCGATGGGTACACTGTGTCCAGATTAAGTAGCAAGAACTTCCCCCTCACTCTGGAGTCAGCCAGCCCCTCCCAGGCATCTGTGTACTTCTGTGCCAGCAGTTACTCCACAGCGCTACACAGCTGCCTCCACTCTGCACATTAAGGCCAGGGAGGCCCTGCACCCTGGAACTCAGTGATGCCCTGGCAGAGGTCTCAGCACAGGGATGTTGGGACTCCAAGGATACTGAGTTTGCACTGCCAATGTGCATCTCCAGACAATCTCAGCCAGGCCTGGATCCAACCCTGGATACAGAGGAACCCACTGTTGCTCCTGGATGGTGATTCCCTGACTGACATTTCTAGCTATAGGCTTGACTCTACACCTTGCAGCATGTTTGTGATTTGGACATACCTGGGCCCCTTGTCCCGGAACCACAGTACCTCTCTTGAGAATTTTCCCCCAGCTTCATCTCTCACGTGGTCTCTGCTGCTACTCATATTTTCCATTAGGATGGTTGCTCTCTAGAGTCCTACTAGGTCCTTCCTCTTCCCACCTCTCTAGTCTTTGTACTACATCCTTGCTGCCAAGCCCTCATCCAAGCCTGACTCTTCCAGTTGCAGAGATGTCAGCAGTACCTGCTCTGGCATAGAGCTTTCCTTTTCTTAGAGGCTAGGCCTTACCTGAGGCTCAGCAATGCCCCTCCTAAGGGAGGCTTACTCTCTTTCCTGCCAAGCTCAATTTCTCTTCTATATACTCTCAGGGCATCATGTACCTGTTACTCAGTAGAATTTAGCACACTTAGAATCTTCCAGAACTTGGCTGATTATTTTTCTACCCAACCAGAGTTTAAGGGCTGCAACTGTCCTCTTACCTGCCACACTTACCTTACTGTATTGAGAACCCAGTTTATAGAGACGGGGTGAGTGGATGGCTGACCACATAGAGGGAAGAACCAATAACAAAACCACCTTAGATCACACATTAACCCAGCAGAGATTGAGCATTAACTACAAGAAGTCATATTCCTTTCATTGCTGGGCTGTGTTGGGTCTTGAAATATTACGAGTAATCTCCTGTCCTTGGTTGCCAGATCTGGCTTCTTTTTTTTTAACCTTCAGGACCAGACTTCCTCCAAAGTCCATTCTTTCCTTCAGCCTCTTCCTTCACAAGAAATCTAGCCAGATCATAAATCTACTTCCAGAATTTCATCTTAAAGTTTTCTTTCCTGGAAACCACTTCTGGTACCAATAACTCTATGTAAAGTCTCCATCAGTGAAAGAGAATCATTAGCAGTATTATGGGAAGAGAGGGTTTATCATAAGAATTAGCCCTTATTCATCTGTGGCAAAAGCTGAAAAAGAGCAGGCTGGAAGGTCAAGGAGATGGCTGGTGGCCAGAGCTCTTGGACGGATGGTTCAGAAGCAAAGGCTGGAGCTGTAGGGGATGATGCTTAGGGCACACCCAGCCATTTTGTGAAACCTAAAGCAGGAGCAGCAGAAATCCATGGAAACATGCTCATACAGAAACTGTTGTCTCTGTCGGGGCTACCTCCATGGGTTTATGGCTGTTGGGTAAGCCTTGCTGCTGTTGGCCACCACTTGAGAAGATAAACTAGGCACAGAGTGTAGAAGAGAGAGACAATGCCCTTGGTCTGCTGCAAAGCTCTGCATGTGGCAGTCACTGTCTCCCTGCATGATCACAGTACTCTTCCAAGTGTAATGGTGAAGCTTTTACTAGTATCTTCTAAATTCTAAATGAATGCCTCCTTGACCGCTCTGACCCCAAACCATTCTGGAAGTGTAGTTTCCAGACTGGATAATTTGACTTAACACCATCTTGCACAGGATGGCTTCTTCCAAAATGATACTTCTAGTCACCCACCTTCTCAACCCTGCTGTGTTCTTCAGACTCCTATTCTGGCACACTTGTGATGCCAGGTGAATCACGCACAAAACTGGGAGACCTTCATTCTGGATTTTCCTTTCATGATTATGATTCCAGTTGTCCTCCTACTCAGAAGTACAGTTTTAGCTGTTGCTGTTATCTTTTCTTTCATGAGTTGCCATGATGCTGGAGTCTTGCCAAGCAATATTAATTTATGAATAATGTGACCTTTTAATCCACTCAAATAAAAATATACAACTCCAGACTGGAGAACTTTCTTTTTTCTCTGAATAAGTTAGAACTAAGAAACCAAGTACTTTTGCTCCTTAATTGTCTAACTTTGACCAATGGAGAAGCAAATCTCTGATGTTAGGACTTGGCATCCTAGTGGTTTTCACATATCAGATTCGGGTTGCCCAGTCCAGCATTCGGAACATGTGAAAGTTAGTGAATTTCTGCAAGTGAAGTAGTCTGCTTTGGATTATGAAAAGAGTTCACCTGTTGAACCAGTATGGGAGCATTCATGTACATGAGCCAGTTGTCAGTTGGTATGGACATTTTCACTTTAAACTGGCATATTCTTGAACCCAAGGAGTATGTAGTCTACAAATGTAATTCTGCTACCTATGCTATTTCCTGGAGTTTTGAGTGAGTGGGAAAAGGAAAAAAGAAAGAATATTTTTAGGTTTTAAATTTTTCATTTTTAAAATGCATACATATATAAGCATAATTTATAGATATCCTTTCTTCTTTCCTTGTGGAAGAACACAGAATGTGAGAACTCTGTATCCAGACAGCCCTGCGGCTGAAAATTATGACCTATAAATTGATTTTGTTTAAAAGAAGCTTATAAATATTTAAATCAGTCACCCTAGTATTTTATAATGTAAGTTGTGTATTCCGAGGTTGTGGGGATTGACAGAGGAAGTGATATCATCGTGGGAACCGCTGTGTGGTGATTAAGGAAGCCTTCCCTTCCCTGTCCGACCTGGTTAGCCCTCATCCTGTGCTGACCCTGCCATGGACACCAGGCTCCTCTCCTGGGTCGCCCTCTGTCTTCTGGGGACAGGTGAGTCTGCAGAACCCCAAGCAGGTTCATTGTGTGTGTGTGTGTGTGTGTGTGTGTGCGCGCGCCTATGTATGTGTGTATATGAGTGTGTGGGTTTATGTGAAGGGTGACTGTCACTATTTTTTTCATTCTATTCCCAACTTCTGTCTCCACAGATCACACTGAAGCTGGTGTCTCCCAGTCCCCCAGTTACAGGGTTACAAAGAAGGGACAGAATGTAACTTTCGGGTGTGCTCCAATTTCTGGTCATGGTTTTCTTTATTGGTACCGACAGACCTTTGAACAAGGCCTGGAGTTCCTAACGTATTTCCAGAATGAACTCGCATCAGACACATCAAAGATGCCTCCTGAGCGGTTCTCTGCTGAGAGGCCTGAGGGCACCTTCTCCAATCTGAAGATCCAGGGTGTACAGCAGGGGGACTCGGCTGTGTATTTCTGCGCAAGCAGCCACAGTGGGGTACAGCCACCTCCTTCCTGCTCACAAACCTCCTTCTCTCTCCTTGCAGCTCCTAGAGACCCTAAAGATAATTGGACATCTGTTGCCCTTTGTGTAGAAAGAGAGCACAGAAGAGCTCTGCAAGCATCGTGGCTGTAAACATGGGTAGAAGGAAACTCTCATGACGTGCTGGGTTTTAGAAGTCCTCAATGAGCCCAAGGCTGCAGGGTGAAGATTAGATGTCTTGGCACTGGTGGTCAGAGCTGTGACGGGCGGTCTTTTCTAGGACTTCAAAGTTGTGGCTCACCTACATTAGCTTGGGCCACACACAATGTGCCTGCCCCCTCCACCCCTCCGTCTGTTGACCCAGCTGGTGTCTGGAAGGCTTGGGGCTATACATACACTGTTTGTTCAGAAGTCTCTTTCATCCTGTCACAGTGAAAGTTTTCCACAATAGCAAATTTGTTTTCTTTTTTGAAGTTAAAGTCTTTGTTACATTTGTGACAGTTAACTGATAAACACATTAATGGTAATAATAAAACTTCTTTTGCTTAGTTTAAAAATTCATTTCTTTCATTTTGCTTTCGTTTTCCAATGCTTCCACCCTGATATGTAAACTAACATGCTTTTACTACCATTTCAGCTTCTTCCTAATTACCTGACTCAGTCTTCTACAGACTGTTTTTTAAAATTAATTATGATTATTGGTACATTTTAGATATTACAGTTTAGATGACATTCATCACAGGAAATTTGTACCTGTATATAATGTATCTTGATTCTTCTTTTTCTCCCATTTCCCCCCTCTTTAACCTCTCTTCCCCTTCCTTATTTACAAAAGCTTTTTCCTTCTTTTCTCATTTTTTTCCTTTTCCCTTCTTTCCTTTCTCCTTTCCCCCTCCCTAGTTTCCCTTCACATTTGAACATTTTCTTCCTATTTCACAGTATCTATTATATGTTTTTGTCCTTATGTACACTTTCGGTTTCTCACACCAGAGAAATAATGCCGTATTTACATATGTGTGTCCAATTTATTTCACTTAAGAGTATGGTCTCAAAGTGTAGCCATTTAGCTAGAAATATCTCAAGTATATCCTTCTTCATGGCTGAGTAGTAGTTCATTGTCCAGAAAAACCAACCACATCTTCTTTATCCATTCATCAGCTGATGGGCATTTGGGCTATTTCCAAGATTTAGTTATTACAAACTGTGTGAACAAATTGTTCGACATCACTGGCCATTCAAGAGATGCAAATTAAAATAATGCTGAGGTTCTATCTCACTCCCGAAAGAATGGCTGCTATCAAGAAATCAACCAATAACTAATGCTGGCGGGGCTGTGGGGAAAGAGGAACACTGCTCCACTGCTGGTGGGAGTGTAGACTGGGGCAACCACTGTGGGAATCAGATTGTTTTAATTTTTGCCCCATATTTTTAATGGAAATGATGCCCCTGAGGTCCTCAACTCAAGAAGCTGGGATTTTAAAAATAAAAACTTAGACATTTTTAAAAAGGTGCCCCTACTTCATTTTATCTATTTTATTTGTTATGTATTGTTATATGTTATTTCTTATAAATTCAAATACTTATATTGTAATTAAACTATTTGCCCATGTGTGGTGAAAGAGCAGTTTGTACCTGTGAAGACCAAACCCGTGGTCAGAGATGATATGATAGTAGTTCCTGGATTTCCTGGAGTCTCCAGAGACAGCCCAGGCCTCCAAGTCTGGGAATGAGTGTCACCGACCCCACCGATTTCTTTCCCCAAGAATCACTGTCCTTGTTGGGGAGTTGTCCTGGTGCTATTTTAATGGTGCCATCAAATACCCCATGTTCTGCTGCCCTGCATCTTCTTGGAGTAAATAAATCCAGGCACAGATGGAATTTTCATGTTCTTGAGATCTATGCCAGGAACTCCTTTCCCAGACCTTGTCTCCAACCTTACCAACCTTAATTTAGATGACCTCTGAAATACTTGATCTAACAGTAGGACTAGTGTGACATTTAGGATTGAACTGAACACAGACCACAGTGGCAAACACTAGGATAAAATGTAATGTTTACAGTAGTGAGCTTGTGGGGCACAGGATTCTGAGACTCTTATCAAATAGTTTATAGAGTTTGCTTTCTCTCTCATTCTATTCTCTCACCAATTAATCCAGAGGACAATTCCTTCAGGATTGTATTGTTTATGGCATTGAGGAACATTTCTGAAATTTAACTATATTCAGAAATCAGTGCAACTTCACAAATGCTTTGTTCAGCTACAACCTGTGGACAGAAAAAGAAACAGCAGTAATTGTGAGGTTTTTAAAAGCAGGCATTTTTCATATGCTTGAAGCTTATTCTCCACATCTACCTATCACTTTAGTTGAAATGAAAAGGCACAGAATTAAAGGGCATGTGATTAATCCATGCAAGAGGTCTATGCCAATTATTGTGGGGTCCTGAAGGAGGAAGAGATTTCTTCTGCTTAAGAATGTGCTAAACAAGGAAGGAGGAGTGAGTTGTTTCCCAGGAACCTGGAAGTCTACATCCTAAGAGAGATTTTAACTCAGTGTGTAGTGGCAGCCCATTAGCAACAAAAAGAATTAAAATCCTTACTAGCCAAACTCTGGTTAAAATCCTTAAAAAAGGAACATCAATTAATTCTCTCTCTCTCTCTCTCTCTCTCTCTCTCTCTCTCTCTCTCTCTCTCTCTCGGTTGATGGTCTCTAAAATAGCAGCAAACCTTTGGGTAAGGCCCATTCTTGCCTCCCAAAAAGTGCTGACTCATCTTCTCTAGCCTTTTTGTCTAAAGCTAAACGCCTGAGGAAGAGTTCTTGTCACAGTTGCAACTGTACATATAAAATTTTAAACTCAACACAGGTACTTCCTAGAAGATCTACAAGGTGCCAAATGATCCAAGAAAAGGCATTCTTTAGATAATGAGATTTGCTGCCTAAACCCTTTCTCCATATTCTCACACCTCTGTAAAAATCCCAATCTCTGCTTGATTCCAATTCCTCTCTGGGGAACTCCCCTACTGCCACCTTGGCAGTGTACCCCAATCTACATAAACTCTTGTCTTTTCTGCATTTCTTGTCTGTTGGTAAATTCTTCTTACCACCTGCCTCACCAGCCCTCCATAGGCTGTCTCTCACAGCAGAGTGGAGAGAGAGATACATGAGCAGATTGTTGGAAGTGTGAATGGTTCCTTTGGGCTGGGACATAAGACAAGAAAGAAAGTTCTCTAATCCAACACACAATCTCCTGATTGGTTGAGCTTCCCTGTCCTAGTGTACCATTAGCTTCCACAATTCCCTGCTGCTCATATCAGCAGACAGGCATTAGGCAAATTAATGGCTTAGTGTACAATGACCTTGCTCCATCTTAATTCTACCCACTGTAGTTTTTCCCACTGCAACTGCTATGATTATTGCCTTATAAGACACCCTATATATTTCATTTATGCCTATTTTACTTTTTATTCATGCATTTGACCCCATCTTGACTATAATCTCATTATCTAAAGAGTCTTTTGCTGATATATTTTTTGGGGTAATGTTTTCAATGTTTGTTTTGTTTTTAGCACTTTTTATCTTCAGAGTAATGGAGTTAAAACAACCTTCTTACACTTCAATTCTTGTGTAATATTTGACACAAAATATTTTCTCTCATTCCTCCCATTCTATCCTCAACTTAGAAGACAGCTTTAAGGGAGAACACCTTAAGACTGTGACTGTGAAGTATTTCATAGAAATAGAATGAGAGGTCCCCAGTTGTGCGGAACACGCCGAGTCAGCCTGCTA